ACTGCGATTGCCAAATTCCCTTGCCAAGCTTTCAACTATTGGCAAAACCCCCCAAAGGGGAGGCCCATGTTCAGCAGTGGACAGTTAAAGGCTGATATGATGATTATGATAATAATATATGTATATCCGAAGGTTATCAATACACTATGTACTTGAGAGGTATCCCGTCAGGATGGCAACCAATAAGGTAATGATGAAAATTATTGAATGAAATATTGCTAGATATGGGGCCACTAGTCCCATTATTAATCCTGCCCCTCCACTCCATTCCCGAAGGGACATATTAAAGTAAATGACGTCACAAAGTGTGATAAGTCCTCGTAGCAGATCAATTGACGATCGTTTCAAGTTCCTATTGTGTTTAGACAGGCCACTATTTGGAGTAGAATGTGTTATTACCGTTAAGTACATTAGTTTTGATACTGTAACGTTAGTGGGATTAACAATAATACAGTAACAACTATTTATTTATATATATATATATATATATATATATATATATATATATATATATATATATATATATATAATTAAAAAATTTATAGTATGTCATCGTCTTAGATATGAAATTAAACAACTCATTGTTGTAATTATGATTTACTTTTTTAACCGACTTCAAAAAGAAGGAGTCAATTCTCAATTCGGTTGTAATTTTTTTTTATCTTATAATGACATCAATTGTAAATCGATTTGGCAGGTATAATTATATATAAATTGTTTAAATATACAGACAGACAACAGATAAATTTGTAAAAATTATTATTTTAGAATCTATCGCTCTTATTAAGACCAGTCGTAATTTTTTTCTTAAATATCTCTCTTGTACAGACATTATTTAGTTCCATTTTTTTATATTAGTAAGACGAGTCTTCTTTCAAACGAATCGTACATATTTGTCTTAAATATATTATATTATATACTTAGATTATGTAAATAGAGCATCGAACCTCAAAAACGGGTCAACTTTTTGTCAGCTAATTGTCAAATTAGCTGATTCGTTTTTTTATCAGTATTCCATATACTTACGTATAAAATGTATATTGATGTATTATTTAATAAATAAAACAAGTGTTTACGCATTAAAAATACGCAGAAATATAAGACGAAATAAATATAGAAGTTATAAAGGAATCATTAATAACTTTTATCATATAAAATTGTACGAAAAGTTGACCCGTTTTTCTCGATGCATTTCTATGGAGACACCTATCTACATAAATCTAAGAGTATATACCTATTGATTTATAGGTATCTACAAGGCTTATAATTAAAATCAATTTCCAATTATGTAGCCTTCTGAAAGAATTACCATGTCAATCGAAAATGTCAAGATTTGTCAATGGATTCAAGAACATTCATACCAAAGTTTGGTAACATCTGCATTATCAAATAATTTTCAATATTCAGATTTTTTTTTATATAATTCTGTTTTCATTGGACTGATTTACTTCAAATTTTATACATGTTTCGAATTTCGAACAATATTTAAGTCGGATTTTTTTTTCTGGAACTTATCAATCGAAAATGTCATCAATTGACAATTGATTGATTGAAAAGCATTCATATTGAATTTACACAACGTCTGCATCTTATGTCTGAATTATCACTTTTAAAAAAAAAATGTGCAGAGTTTTTTAATTGTAATCCTTCAACATATCAGCCGGTAACTGACAACTGCTGAACATAAACTTTTCACCTATTATGCGGTTATTTCAGTAGTTGCCATGATTGGTAGGCGAATTAGCAACCACAGTTAGGCTTTAGTGATATTTTAAGAGGAAGGCAACTGCCCATCTCAGGACCATTAAGTTCTGTTAGTTGGTTTTTACGACTCTCACAGGAAAGGAAGGACTGGCCCTTTCTATGCTGGAATCGCACGGCAATCCTACTCGTTATTAGCATTATAAATGTGAAAGTGAGTTTGTTTGTTTATTTATTACATCACCAATCACTATTAAATTTAATATACACGTACTATGGGATGGAGAAGACTATTCTTTATCCCAGTTATGCAGACGAAGTTGCGGGTAAACGCTAGTCTCTGTTGTTTTTTTTAATAAATTTGACTCGTATTAAGTATAGTTATGCTCGGTTTTTAATTAGTACAAAATCTTATTAAGTATAATTAAAAAATATTACATAAAATTAATAAATATGGTTTTTGAATAAGTATGCGTATTGTATTGAATGTCAAATGGTATTCAAATAAGTTATTTATGTTGAGATTGTATCCAATTATATTTATATAAATTATCACGTATGTAATAGTTGTACAAGTATTAATTAAGGGGGAGAAGGGATTGTTAGTAATGCGGATTATCAGTTTCATTGCTAATAATATACCCTAACAGGTCGACCTCCCCGTGGTCTCCCCTGGAAACCATCGTGCTGAATTCCAAGTGTATTCATCATGATGGGCTAACTGACCTGCCTTTTCATCCTCACCTATCATCTATCACTGGTGCCTCGCTAGCGTATACCGATAGCGTAGGGCTACCATTCCATTATCATCCATTAAAAAAAAAAGTATTAATTAATTTATTACCTACTCCTATTAAAAAGTCCCTATCCGTAACAAGATCGGCAACAGCCAATCAGGGACGAGCGCTAGCCGGGAATGTGTGCTGACGTAACGTGGTATTCGAAATTTGAAATTTCAAAACAGTCCGCCGCGTTGTTCCGGCCACTGCGCATGATTTGTGTTACCATTAATCCCGTATAGAGCATCGATTGTGATCGATCGATGTAAATACCGCGAAAAATAATGTTGAGTTACACAATTTGTTTAATATAAACTTTTAATTTAATGTATATGGTAAAAAAATATATATTTATCGAAACTTTGTGATTTTATGATGAATGGATTACAATTATTGTGATTTGTGATTGATTGATGTAACCGCATAAAATAGTGTTGTAGTAAGACAATGTTTTAAATACCGATTTTCAATTAATTGTATAACAATAAAAATCTTTTTTATCGATACTTTGTGAATTTGTGATGAATGAATTTGGATTATTGTGATTTATTAACGCAAATGCAAAGAAAAAATATCGACGGAATATTGGCCTTTTTGGATAAAAGTATGCCTTTATTATGCCTAATTTTAAATATCATAATAGTAGATTTTTTTATTTAAGTTATTAATAAACTTGCATATGTTTTAATACAATTTTGTTGTTGTGTTGTAAACGTATTTATTTATATATTATAATGCATTCATGTACATATTATAGAGTTGTTACGATGTTTTTATAAAAAATACATGAAATCCTGTTTGGGTGTAGCAAAATTATATTTATAGGTAGCTAATATACATGCATTTATGTCAATTTAGATGTTCGATTACATTTAATTATTTTACATGTAATTGTTCGTTTTAAAATAGATTTGTCATGCAATAATTTCGATTTACATTGAATAAATAAACAAGAATTTTACACTATATTGTTTTACATTTATTATATTTATTACATTTATTAAACGTATTGTGCTGTTTGATATCGTAATATTAAAATTTTATTAACTAATATTTATTTTTCCTTATTTCCAACATTTTAATTAGTGACACAGTATATATTTTTTTAATTTAAAATATAATAAAATATTGTAATAAAGAACTTGGTTTACATCGCTAAATTTTATGTTTATATTTATATATTCAATAGTAATTTATTTGATACTGGCAATTACCGGCGGCTTCGCTCGCATATATATTAATATTTTCTGTTGTTATTTTTTTGGATGAGATTTATTAATAATAAGCCTTTCTTTTGTATTTATTACTTTTCTAACTGGTAATTTATTTATTTTACAATTTATTACATAAATTGTAAAATAAATAAATATTTTTATAGGACTGTTCAAAAAAAGAGTAAATATGTTTTCAGAATTTATGTGGCTGTATTTAGTCCACCATAACTTCTAAATGCTATAATAGATTTTGATATATGTGGTATCGATAGGATCCTTATATAATCACGAATGATAATCGTAGCAATTATCTCTCTCTTATTTTATTTTTTTTAATACAGAACCAAATGAACATATGAATGAAAACTCTTTATTGTTCCTTTAAAAAAATAATACGGATTGTAAAAATTAATAATATGTACAAAATCAAAATTCATACTTAATTATACATATATACTTAATTATATAAAAGCAACATAAAGTGACAACAATGGGCGGCCTTGTCGCTAAATATCGATCGCTTCCAAGCAACCTTATGTGGTTACTGTTTTATAAGACATAAATTATTATTCCTAAATTATTATTATTACGCCTCCCTCTTATGGGGAGTTTGCTCATAATTGCCACGCTTGGCAGGCAGGTTGGCAATCGCAGTCACGCTTTTGGAGATGTTTTAAGAGAAACGCTGCTACCCATCCTTCAACCATAAGTTCCCTTAGTTGCCTCTTACGACACCAATGGGAAAGGAAGGGGTGGTCTATTCTATGTTGTGACCTATACGTCTTTTTTTATACCACTGAGGTGTCAAACAAAAGTTTGCTCATAATTGCCACGCTTGGCAGGCAGGTTGGCAATCGCAGTCAGGCTTTTAGAGATGTTTTAAGAGAAACGCTGCTACCCATCCTTCAACCATAAGTTCCCTTAGTTGCCTCTTACGACACCAATGGGAAAGGAAGGGGTGGTCTATTCTATGTTGTGACCTATACGTCTTTTTTTATACCACTGAGGTGTCAAACAAGCATACGGCCCACCTGATGGTAAGCGGTTACCGTAGCCTGTAATACCAGGGGTATTACGCGCGCGTTGCCGACCCTGAAGAAATCACTTTACCCCATTTTTTAAGAACTCCATGCTGTAGTCTCTTGGGAAAACCTCGGCAGGGAGTTTATTCCATAACCTGAGTGTTCGTGGGAGAAAGCATCTCTGAGAACATATCTAAGAACAGATTGAATTTAGTTCACGTCTAATAAAAAAAAAATAGTTACATATATATATTGTTATAATAAAGTTAATTGTCTTGTTACAGGAACTGATCGCCGGTGGAATGGTGTTGACTGCAATCGAGTGAAACCGTAAAGTGCTAGTGATGTGCAAGTGCCATTTTAGTGCGGTGCATTATATCGATAAATACCGATAGTGTTGTGCCACGATGCTGCTCTCCCGGGCACAGTTCGTACCTTGTGTGTTTATGTGTCTGTTGCTACAATACTGCGTGGAAAGTCAACAGGAGATCCTTATAGAGGAGTCATGTGAGTATTGTTTTTATTATAAATAAATGTAAACATATTTTAATTAGATTAAGATTAATTAAAAATGTATTTATTCGACAAACATAACACAAGAAGAATTACAAAAGAGATTTATCGAACAAGAATGAGTAGAGATGTCAGTAGGAGCCGCCCTAGATGGACATATGTCGACCAAATAGTCGACGTCAATGGGATTCTCAGTCTCCATTACTAAAAATCCCTTTCCCCCCATATTTTCCGATTACATAGTTATTTACTATTTAATTTAGCTATTTAATTAAATATTGATTTAAAACAATTACCAATCTATGTTCATTGGTCGGGTTAATATAACAAAAGCTAACAGACAAACTCACTTAAATATATATAAATACTTATATTTAACTCTTTGCACTCGAGTTAACTATAAACTATAAATTCCTGGGGAGAAGAGATTAGTAATGGGCATTAGCAACTTATTTTCTAGTATCTAATCTAACCCTATAAGGTCGACCGCCACGCGGATACCATTGTGATTAATTTGTTGTTGAATTCGCCACGATCAGCTGACTGTTTTGTTTCATCCTCACCTATCATCCCTCACTGGTGCCCTGTGTATACCGTTCGCGCAGGCGGTGTTACTATTCCATTACCATCCATTACAATAAAAGTATCAAATGCAATAAATAAAACTATAAGTATCATAGGTTTGCCAGAAGGAGATTTTGTACAAAAGTTTTTTGCTTGGGTACCTCTGTCCCATTCGTGTTTCTACTTTGAAACAGTTGTGTTTGTATGGCTGTGTTTCGGTTTGAAAGATGGCATATGGCAGTGAATTTTCAGGGTATAGAGGAATTACATCTTAGTCCTCAGAAATGGCAACGCATGGAGGGTATCATGGGCGAAATAGTACACTCTCTTATGTCCATGGTACTGTTCATGTTTATAGGCGATTGTTATCACTTTCCATCAGGTGGCCCGTTAGCTTGTTTGCCATTCTAAGTTGCATAAAAAAACCTATTGTTTATATTTTATGGTTAAATATAATATCTATCTAAATTCAATCATACCATACGCTCCAAGATGGCGGATAACCTTTTCTCTTAACGGCCTTTGTCCAATACCTTATTTGTTCGTAATTTAAAAATATACCGCCATTGTTTTCGTACAATTGAATAAAGTGCGTTATCATGAATAATACCTGCGAGGTTAATTAAGAAAACAAAGGAACATCATAAGAGCTAATCACATCGACTCGTTCAAGCACACACCACATGGTGAGCTAAGCTAAGCGAATTTAATTTCGATTAGTTTAAAAAAAAAAAGAACAAAAAGAAAAAAGTAACCTATGTCTTCCAGGAGTAGAAAATGTTGTAGATAGTGGATTGTACATTTTGAGTTGTATTTATGTATTTATGACAAACATACAGCTTTAAAAAACTCATAAGACAATTACGCAATTAAATATTACATCAGTCTCCAATAAAATTTGCATAGATGAAGGCATACAGACATAAAGAAATACTATTATTGAAAATTAAAGCTTAATGCTTTATTTTTTAAACGCATTTTAATTTATTAATCCTTTTAATGCCATTGATTTTTACTCATATCTACTTAAAAATGCCAAAGAAATCTTTGTCGTATTGATGTCATTTACCCTTGTCTCTAAAAAAACTGTATCTCCTCCAAAAGTTATCCAAATTTAGTATTTTTTGCAATGCTCACGAGCGCGATGGCGCTCGTCGGCATTCAAAGGGTTAATATTAATAAAAATACCAAATTATGACAGAGAAACTAAATTCGTTGCTTACAACTTATGACAAGAGAGTAAAAAAAGGTCATGGCGCAGCGTTGCCACACATAGGAGAAAAATATAAAAAAAAATATTAATAAACTATTAGGGTTGCCAATACCGTATATGTAATTAAATAATAATTGGTTAAGCGCTTAAAGTACCAAGGGGTGACATACAAACCCACATTCATATTTAGAATATTTTTCTGGGTGAGCATAATGGGAGACTATAAAGCTCACCTAGTTAGATCAAATAAATGTTACAAAGGATTTCTAAAGTGAGATTTTTTTTTCATCTATTTTTATAACTATTTCATGTAATTACATCCCTAATTCTGATCAGATTTATATAATTAATTTTGTAATCGAGAGATTTTTTTTTTTATGCAACTTAGAATAGCAAACAATCTGCCGGCCCACCTGATGAAAAGTGGTACCCGTCACCTATAGACATGAACTGTACCATGGGCATAACAGAGTAAACTGTTTCGCCCATGATAACCCCCATGCGTTGCCATTCCTGAGGACTCAGGTGTTATTCCTCTGTACCCTGTAAATTCACTGCCATATCCCACCCTTCAAACCGAAACACAGCCATGCAAACACAACTGCTTCACGATATAAACACGAATGGAACAGAGGAACCAAAGCAAACGACTTTTGTACAAAGCCTGCCTCTGGTTACTTTTCTATTAATGCCATAACAATTAGTTGACGTTTGAAGCTGCCGTTTTCCTTTGTGCAGCAAAACGTACTTGTCATAGGTTAGTTAGTTTATTGCAAACTGCAGAGCTAACACAATGCCAGTTAAACTAACTGTCGCTCTTTGTGCGGGAGTTAAGAGAGGTTTCCGTTCGCAACACTCCGTTAAAAAGCACTTATTGATCCGACATAGTGGCCAACCGTTGATACTAGAACATTCTCTATTCGATTGATCGCATTCAAGGAGATAACATGATCTCTGTGTTCACTCGGAATGATGTGGTCACATGTCGTGCTGTAATAAAGGATTTTCTCCCTCAAATGCTCAGACTGTGGAATGAGCTCCCTGCCGAGGGTTTCCCTAAAGACTACAATATGGGTTTCTTCTAAAAGTATATATTAAGGATTTTCAGGGTCGGCAACGCACACTTGACACCCCTAATGTTGCAGGCATCCGTAGGTTTACCATCAGATGGGTTGTATACATGTTTGCTACTATTGTGGTATTAAAAAAAAACATCGTCTAGTGTCTCTTTTTTTTATACAACTTAGAATGGCAAACAAGCTGACGGCCCACCTGATTGAAAGTGGTAACCGTCGCCTATAGACATGAGCAGTCAGTACCGTGGACATAACAGAGTATACTGTTTCGCCCATGATACCCCCAATGCGTTGCCATTCCCGAGGACTCAGGTGTTATTCCTCTGTACCAAGTAATTTCACCCCATATCCCACCTTTCAAACCGAAACACAACCATGCAAACACAACTGTTTCACGGTTGAAACACGAGTGGGACAAAGGTACCCAACTCCCTACTGGTAAAATTCAGTCTCATTATTACAATTTTCATTTACACTGAATTTTCAATGTAAGACCAGATAATTTAATTTGCATATCTGTACTTAGTTCGCAAAGTTATCTAAGCTAAACTCTTTTAGGTTTGCTTAGCGTAGCTCTCAGTGTGGTCAATGTTTTATATCACGGGGTTCTTATAACGCGACGCAGCAAATTAAAACACTCCCCCATGGCGTCGTAATTAGAGTTACTGACACGTGCCATGGTGGTCACGTGACTCCTTGTGCAGCGTTCAGTAATGGTTAGCGACTTGCTCCAGTACCGGATCGAGTACTCGATCACGACTAAATAAATGTCAGTTTGAGTCGAAATTCACACGGTCCCTAGAGAAATCGTCGTGGTTAATTTCTGGAAAACTTGTCACAATCATCTAACTGATCTGACACATATCTTCACCTGTCGTCTCTCGCTGACACCTCGCCAACATAAATTACGCATATATACCTACTTTCAAATTGCTCGCATAGAAATGTTATCAAAATCAGTTGAGTAAATTTAGTTTTTAAACCAAAATAATTGATTTTTCCAAGATTGAAGGCGGTTTTTTTTTGTGATGCAAATTACTGAATCAACATAACCGATTTTGAAAAATCTACTTGTATTATTTTTAACGCGATGAAATTTATTATTGTATTATTAAGTCTCAGTGTGTATTTAATATATATATAGTTAGTGTATTTAGTATATTATAGTTAGTAATGCAATGGCAATAGACTGGTCACATAGCTCGAAGAACCAACAACCGATGAGGAAGAAAGGTTCTTGAGTGACGACCCAGTACGGGCAGACGCAGTGTAGGACGACACCCCAAATTAGATGGAGTGACAACCTCGAGTGGTTGATGGGTGATAATGGTATGATAACCCCGCCAGCGCTAACGGGATACGCTGGCGGAGCACCAGTGAAGGGTGATAGATGAGAATGAAAACAGGCCAGTTAGCCCATCATGATGAATTAATCAGGAATTAACCATGATAGTTTCCAGGAAGAACCGCGAGGAGGTCGACCTGGTTGGGTATATTGCTAGCAATGGGATTCTCAGTAATTTCTAACAATCCCTTTCCCCCCTGTTATTAAGTATTGTGCAATAATATACGACATCGCTTTCAAATGTTGTGACACTATTGCCCTCCAACACTCAGCCACTGCCTACGTCTTGACCAGGTCAGCGGTTCACCCACGTATTTCCCCAAACGAAGTCACACCTTCATATTTTATATTAGAATCAGTGAATTTATTATTTCGATTCTCTGATTAAGTTGAAATCGCATCGAGCTGGATTTATTACTGCCTTCATTGTAATATCCATTGATTCTTGATTTGATTTATTGTACTTAACTGTATACTTAATATAGGTTTAAATACAAAAAAAATGTTTGTGAATAAAACCCCGTTTACACGAATCAATTTCTATTTTTATATTTATATATATGTATGTATATAACTATGTAACTGTGAATTTATCGCGTAACTAAGATATGTATACTCTGTTATGTCCATGGTACTACTCATGTGTATAGGCGACGGTTACCACTTTCCATCAGGTGGGCCATCAGCTTGTTTGCCATTCTAAGTTGTATAAAAAAAATGTATTCTTTTTTATTTTATATAAGTGACACCCCAAAAATAACAAACAAATTCACTTTCACTTTTATAGTATTAGTAA